CAAACTAATAGTCATGGAAATAAAAATGCTAGAAAGTTAATTTTCGTGTTCCGTTACATGTGTGAGCCACTGTATATAGAAGTTCGACTGTAATCGAACAATCGAAATAATAAATCAATTTTGAACTCAATTCTGGATTGAGAATCGATTCCTGTCTCTAATCGAGTACACGGAGCACAAAATTTGACTAACGCTAAGAACCATGTTAAATTCGAATTTACATTTCGATTCCGATTGTATCTCTGTAATGGACGAAGCAAGAAGCTAACGCGCATTTCTTACCAAAAAGCGCTAATTTTCTTATGATGTTATTATCAAGGCTTTGATTCGATTAGTGGCTTAGAGTGTCATTGTAAGCACGAAACAAACACATCACAAGAAAATGTGATTCTTACTATATTTGTAGAGATTCTGAAAACCTATATAAAGAGATCGAGCATTTTTTATCATTCCTTCAAAGAATTAATCAAAAGTATTAAAACTTTTAATCAATCAAATCAATTAAAATGTCTTCAAACTCACCTTTTTCGCTCTTGTACGCTGCAATTCTCGTTTTACTAATCTCGTTTCTTATATTCACTCTCTTCCACAAGAAGTGAATATAAACGAGGCCTCTTTAGCATTTATCCAAAAGAACATAAACGAGCTGAGGGTACAAATACAGGAGATTGGAGTTGGATTCGAGGACATACTAAACGAGGCGCCCAAGTCGTCGGCTACGCAGATCTCCTCGGCGGACGTGTAACACTTAGTCAAGAAAGCTCTGGTGTAACAGTAATCTATGGTCAATTCAACACGGGATTCGGTGCCAGCTCAAATCCCGCTGATTATACGTTTGTTTTCGAACCATCCGGCGTTGTAATTAAACCCTCATACTCGATCTTAAATGGTGGCACTTCAGCTTGGATCTTGAATCGCAACGATGTTAGATTATCGCATTGTTCCGGCACAGATATCTCTAAAGATAAGTTGGTTGTGAAAAGGGGTGCTACTGTTATCGGCTCGGCTCCTGTTACTATCGTGTAAATTTATTTTGTGAAATGCAATTTTTTGTATTTTTGTGTAATGTGATGGGTAGTACATGTAATCGGGTAATTTAATAATTTGTAAATAAATCTTTCAATAAAAATCAAGTATTGAATTGAACTAATTTGCATTTTTGTTCATGCATGTTCCATGTAAAATATTCACATTTAAAGTTCAATTTGTTATCGTTATAATGTTGTACTGACTCAATGACAAACATTTTCAGTCCATTCTAGTATAAATATCAATATAAATAATTTTTGATAGCTTATTTTTTCTTTTATCTGCAAGTTCATGTATGGCCAAGGAAAACAATAAAAGATGTCATGGTTAAAATATTTTCACTATATACATGTATCAACTTGCTTTTTTTATCACAAGTCTAACTGCAGTTTTTATTTCTGTGATTTTTCAGCTGAAATTGATTAAAGATGGTGCATATACTGTATACATGTACGGTCAGAGCTGGTTATAGTAACATCGGGGGAGAGGTTTTGGTGATGTTATTATATCCAAATATTATTAATGCTACTTTATCCAATAGTAATTAATATAAAAAAAATTTTTTGTACCAATCAAATCATGTTACTATAATCAGCATGTTATTATAAAGAATGTTACTGTAACCAGCTCTGACTGTAGTTGTTTGAAAATCTTTGTTGGATTAGGGATAAGAATCGGTTCTCAATCCAAATAGATTCTCAGTTTCGATTAATCGATTCTCAGATATAAATCGGTTTTATTATTAGAATACAATAAAGATAATAATTATATACAAAGCAAAAAAAAAATGAATAGGAAAAATTGCACAAATCCATAAACATAATTTGTTCTACCAAATGACTATCTAAACGATTTAGTTGAGGGGAGACTAAGTTTCCCACATCAGAAAACAGACGCTCAGAGTGTTTTGACTGGTTGAATATGTAGATACACTAGATTTTAAAAATAATATAGAGGCAATTGAACTATTATCGTCAGATCGAGATTTCATATTTATTTCGTTTTATAAATTTCGTTAAAGTTTGGATCAATATCACTATTGTTACTTCGGAGCCAAGATTATCACTATCAGAATCATTAAACTCTATATTTGCAACAGTTGGTCATCATTAGAGGCTCGAGTATTATTATTGTTAAATGACAAAATCATTTGTTGTGCACGAGAGTGAGTTGTAACATTTGCTCATTATTCATGCATTGTTAATCGATTTTGTCTTTAGAATCGATTTCCTCATTCTAATCTCAAAATCGATTCTCAGAATCAATTTTAAATTGATCGATTCCTAACACTAAACCGTATTTCAAGTGGATGTTATTAATAATATTTTGTTGTGAATAAGCACCATCACTTTTAGGCTCTAAAAAACGGTTGGTATCTTCTGGACATTACTTTGCAATTCAAAATTGTCGCCATTTAAGATATATTTATAATTTAAATATAGGGATGCCTATTAATCGTTTTGCTACTATTTATTCACAGCATTATATAAATGCATCATAAGAAGTAAATATCGCAAGAATAATAATCCATAGAATTTTTTGACATACAAACAACTGAACTCAAGTAAATTAAAATTTATTCATCTTTGGAAAGAATTATTGGCGAACGAAAGGATATTGGCGATCGCAAGGAAATAATTGGCTGTCGCATAACCTGATTGTTTGTATCGTTTGTAATGGGTTCTGATGTAGGTTGTTGAATAACTTCATTATCGCTTTTTAAATCTTTCTGCTTATACATGTATATGACAAAAACTAAAATAACAGCACCTAAAATTCCACCTATGACACCACCTACTATACCACCAATATTTTTTCCTTTTTCTGGAGTTGGATTTGTTTGATTAAGATCAGGTACCGGTACCCACGTATAATTACTATTCTGTACATCTACCTTAAGAATTGATGTGCTATTTCCAATTAACGTTCCATTAGCATCTTTCCCTAAAAAAATAAAATGTGCGATTAGACTTGATTTATTTATAAATTATTTTTTTTAAAAAGATTACCGAATGCAACGATCATATAAGTATCATTGTTGATAATTGTTGCAGTATGATAATAAGGAATAGCGA